ATGAAGTTCTTCTGAGTTTTTTCGTCATAGCTATGCACGTTACCCGGATCAGTCGACTTGGCCTTGGTCGTATCTGCGATCGTGTTGGCAACAGCTGTGACACCATTGGCCACGTCAAATAAAGCAATCACAATGAAGAGTGCGAGTTCGAGCAAGCGCGTGAATTTTAATTTCGTTTGACGAGTCATGATGACCAAATTGCAATCTAAAAGGAAATTGCGATCTGAGGATGAAAATGAGAAGCTTGGTATCTCTGGTTTTGAACAGATGGACTGTGTAAGCAGAGAGAGTCTCCTGAAAGATGAGTGAATTGTTTGTTGGTAGGTTGTAATTTAATTCGCTAAAAATCAAAATATTCAGCGTGATGCCATCTGATGTGCTGGCTAAAAAAATAGCCAGAAACCATTCAGTTTTTCTAAGAACTTTAATTATGTCAAGTGCTACCAAACTTGGTCTTAAAGGCAATGGCCATGCAACGTATCTTGCTCTATTAGCGTTCCGTGAAGTCAGCCGAACGAGTTTTTCAACATGTGGATTTAATTTATCGCTGACTGTCGATTCGTTGATAATGTAGCGTGACAAGAAACGCTAAAGCAACGCTACTCAATATCCGTGGCGATGATCATTCCCTAGGTGTTATCGCATGGATCCTCCTTCGTTTAATATGCGGATTATTTTTGGTTATTGAAGAATTCAAACGTGTTCATCATATAATTGTTATATTCTTGATGAAGTGTATATGCTACAGAATCGATGACTACAGATGGTTGCCAAGCAAACAGCGCGTTGATCGGCGAGTACCAATGTCTTGCTTCTGTGCTGTTTCTAGAAGACGCTACTTCACTGAAAAAATTGTGGCCTTTAAATCAAAAAGCCCTCGTCTAGACTATCTGCACTCGGCTACTGATGATCTCATGAGGACATAAAGCACTGCAATTCATAGATATACAAAGTGCTATGGTAATGTGGAACTGACATCGATGCTATACGGATAATTTCAGATTATAGCCCTTTTTATAATGCTACATGTACCAAAGCCATGTGTTCATCGCTCATTGATGCAAGCGAGTTATATATTCAGATGAAGGATCTTTTCAGAACGGTCATGAGAGACTTTAGAATTCTTGGACTTCAACAGTGCAAAATGCAATCGACAACAAAACCTAGTGATCTAATGATGTTAACAGTTGATGATGTTCCTGTGTCTTTCTCATCCTAACGTGATCTCTGTCAAAGAATCTACTGTAATTGTGTACGATCTGGTCTGCATACCATTAAATTGAACAAGTACTGGCTAGTCACCTCAAAGAGAACCCTAATTCAAGTTTCTACTTTGAAGAGCTCAAACCCACAATCATGAATGTAGAGCCACTACACCTTAACCACTACCTTTGTTTTCGGTATGATCAGATAAATATACAAAGGACATATACCTGCAATATTGTGCTTCAACAGTATGGAACAGTGTCGTCTCAGTTGACAGTTGCTATGTATTATTGATCACTTGACCCTGACTAAGATATTACGCTGCTTCAATCCGCTGGTTTTTTATATTTTTTTCTTGATTTTTTTTATTTTTTTTTCGTGATTTTTCTTTTTGTCCAATTTTTAGGCGATTGATGAGAATATCTGAGTAGGTGACTTCCTTTTATATTTTTGTTTTCCATCAATGTACGTTGGGTATAGGAAATCTTGCACTCGAACCGGTGACCACTTGGTCAACGGCTCAGAGCTTAACAGCTGAACCAAGGGGACTCCCCGGGCTGCATCATCCCAACGAATGACGAATAAATATAAATTGTTTGATCAATATTATTGCAGAGTTCAAACATCTGTGCGACTGCAACATTTCTAATAGTTTTTTGCTCTGAACAGTTCAAATTCACATAAACTTTTGTATCCATTATGATTACACAGTTATACGGCTCATAGCCCAAAGAACATCCGCCACGACATTGAGCCGTCTCGGTTAATACTTCCCTTGAGCGTCTACTCAACAGATAACAACAAACAAAGCATTCACTGTTAGAATTGTTCTGATCACATCGCAGTGTGCTCGAATTACTTTGGTATGGATTACAAGCCGCTCAGAGCCAAGCAAAATGACAAAGGCAAGTTTTATTGCATAAAACACTTTGCCATGTTTAGGGTACTTCATCTCAGCAATAGTGGCACCGACCAGAGTAGCACATATCTTTTGACAAGGGCTGAAGCGTGACAGACGACACGAAATGGCCCATCTAAGCTTGTATGAGCCAAAAGCAGGACGAGCATCTGTCTTTCAGCCTAGAATGTCACCGATTCTACAAATATTAGCTGCAATTGACATCCCTTATTTCTTAGAGCATATTAATGTTGCGCGGTGCAGTGTTGGTGTAACGGGGTTACACGTACCCTGGTAACAGGGGGGGTGTCACACGAGATGGGCATGGTGTAACTGCACCCAAATAAGAATACGGTACGTGGCTGGGTAGCCAGTAGTAATGCATGCATTCAGATATACTATGTGTATTTAGGAAAATCTATACATTTAGAATTAGGCGGCTTTGCCACAGATAGAACAAATAAATACAGTTTACATGTTAAACAGAAGAGTTTATTAGCCTTGGGTTAGTGTTCTAACTACTCTTGGAGGTAGCGGATTGCGATCCGCTACACTCGTACTGGTTCTTG